ATGGTATTAATTTACAATATTATAAATTTATAAATTCTTGTGTATGTCATCTGCGACATTACCAATCTTTGGTGTAATCTAAAGATGCTCCGATTTTCGACAATAGCATTTTTATAATAGCAAAATAAATTCGTTAGTTGGTACATTCGGGAGGTTAAAATTGAGAATTCCCAGTAATTTACGAAAGCTTCAGAATAAATGAAAATAAAAAAAGTAAAAATGTAAATGTTTACATAGGTAGAACAAAATTTTGACAAATTTTTATTTTCTAGGGATAATTCAAAAACTAATAACTAAAATACATTTTTTTAAGTTGTTWTCATTTTAAAATTGTTTTACTATACTTTTGATACTTGAAAATACAAGATTCCTCGTAAGTTTTCTTGAAAGCAGTTCAAAAATATCAAAGATAGGTACATAATCACGATTATTTTTATATAGATTTAAAGTTCAGATTTCGATAAAATTCTTCAATATGAAAAGTGTAGACTATATTATTGGAATCAATATAAATTATAATTATATCTCAATTGTCTAAACMTTTGCTTAACAAACAATACAGAATATAAAAATAACAATCCGTATATATCGTAAATTAACTGTTGTAATAATAAATAATGAATATTCGAAAATTATTCATATCGTATTTTTGAAAATTGAATTATTTATTTAACATACGAGATACTAGCTTAATTTTTATATAAATATCTACATAGGTAGGTAGGTATTTAACTCACGTAGWCGCACTGCTTATCTTGCATGAACTAACTTTAAATTTTATGACCACTTATAACTTACCAGTTACCTATAGTATAGGTATATACATTATTTAAATTTATACGCTTAGATATTTTTACATCAACAAGTATAGGTATAAGGTCATAAGGACATAATAATTGATATTATATCTTATAATTTATTTATTACAATTTATAATACCAAAATTTACAATTGGTAGGTACCTAATGTTTCTATAGTTTTTTGCATAGTATATTATCCTATATTGGATTATTTCATTAACTCAATACAAGTACCTGTTTTATTATTTTCCATATATTTCTTTATGGTTTGCAATTTCAAGATGTTTATAATTAGGTAATAGTTATTGTTTGTATTGATAACTTTTTGACAGTTATTTAATATAAAATAATAATCTGAACATATTTGGGTAAAGATAATAAATGTTCATTAACCATCATGAWTACATTTTTCTTAGATATATTGCATGGTTTAGGTTTTTATGTGTAGTTATTAAACTAAAATTGTAAGCAATAAGAAATAAAACAATTTATTATTTAGATTTGCATGTCAATAACTTTATTATATGATAAATTAACACAATATATATTTACTCCAAACTTAAAATTATATTATCTTCATATAAATATAAGTTTCTAAATTGTAAATAGAATTTAGAATTTTCGTATATTAAATAAATATATTAGGTAGGTACCAAGAAACAAATATATTTGATTGARTGAATTCTAAACAATTTATATGACATGACTATATATTATTACTGTAAGACAAAATAAGTTTTAGTTCAATATACATAAAAAAAAGATACAATCGAAAAAAAATATTTAGTCAATAAATTAAATGTGTACAATAACTTCTTAGTTCTTACCACTCAATACTTTAATATTATTATAGCCAATGGACGGCGTAGATTTAATTATGATATTATTAGAAGAAGTATATAATATCAAACAACATTCTCGATATTTTATAACTATATAGTGTAAGTTATTATAATATGTTTAAAATTTTGAATAATATGTGATATTATAATGTGATATGTGTACAACATTTAAAAAAGTATTAAAGTGATATGGGCACCATATTTAATTTTTCATATTAAATTACACATAAGTAAAAATAAATAAATATATTCATATCTTATTAGCATAAATTATGCGTTTGAGCTAGGAACAAATTATATCAAGGAATACAACACAACAATATTTTTTTCCTTTCGAATTTTATTGCAAGTCCCCAATGGCCCAATCAATGAAGATTGTACACTAATAAATTCAAGCTTACGAATTGATCAAATTTAAAAACCTAATGTATTGAGCACTGTTTGACGTTTGATATTAATATAATTATATTTTATTATACTTTTATTACTATGACAATAAAAATTGGCGAATTCACTATTCAGTGTAGATTTAATAATTTAAACATTCCATGCATATTTGTCTTAAAGTTTAGTTATGTGAACAGTATAATTGTTATAATCTATACTCTATAGTGTGGTCTTTACATAATCAAATATATTCTTAAAATKTAAGTACATGAAAACCTTATTTTGAATAGTAATGTCTTAAGTTGTATACAAAATAGGTTATTCAGGAATGTATGGAATTGCTTGTTATTATTTTTGAGATTATATTGTGTTTTTTCGCGATTTTAACTGGCGCCCATATTATGATGTATAATAATTTCATGTTATTACAATTAAGTATATTTATTAATCCATGTTATATTTCTTTAAATTAATTAATCTTCACAACTCTTATGRTTTACTCATTTTGAAGTAATTTGTAAGGTATTGTATTACAGTAAATGGTAGATTTAGGTGAGCAATACATTTGCTTCTTCATAAATCATTGTTCTATCTTGCTAATAGCTGCAGGCAGTTCACAGGTGCTTCAATTATAATATTATTTGATACTTTAATACATTTGTTCAAAAATGTAAGTAGGTACATACACGAGTATGACATAGACGTAGTCACAGAAACAAATATTCTTTTCGTAGAACTATACTGCTATAATGATTTGGTCTAAACAACTTGACTTTTATCCTACTGTTTTAATGGAAATTGCACATTGTGGTCAACGTTCATATAATATTATATATGTTATATGAAGATTAACCGTGAAGAGCTTTTTCAGAAATTTTGGAAAACAAATGATATTGATACTGAATTCGCTAAACGTATATAGATATATATTGTTTATAGTTAGTATACCAATGCATAAATACATTTACTTTGAAATTATATTCATAACTATTTATATAAATGAATAGTTTAAATCACATTGATACATAAATATGTAATCATGGTATAAATGATAACTATACACAMAAATTACAAAAAATTAAAACATAAGTATAACTTCATGAAATGTGTTAAAGGTAAACTTGACCTCTTGCAGATTTCCAAGAGTCAAGAACCTCAATTTTATACATACGCACTGGGGCTTGGGCTAGTGAAGTATCCAGCTCTTCGTCATTCTCTGAATCGTGACAATCGTCAAACTAAAAATATTTAARCATATAGCATGAAATCATTTTTAAGTTCCCATACAAAAATATTATCAATAAAAGAGATAGGTAGGTAACAAATTTTGGCTCAGAGATCGGGATTGGAATATGCATATTCTATATTTCTATGTCTGATTCATTATTGTAAATTATAATATATATATTTCCTATTAAGAGACTCAGAGTCTCAAAAATCAGTCCCAAGACCTTCTTGGGAAGGTCTATGTGTTGTTAGGGTAAGTACCCATTAACCCATTATATATTTATATCCATCCATTAAATTATCGTAGGTATAAAAGTATATCGCTTTATTTTTTTGAATTTCAGACTTCAAGCTAATCTAATTTTATCAGATTTATAAATGAATAATAATAAAAAAAAAAAACGTATTACTTTATTAAATGTTCCAAATTAATATCTAGAATTTTGTATGATAAAAATCACACACAAATATAATGAACCTATTTAAAACCTCGATAGGTATTACCATATTTATTTGTTACACATTATACTTACATCAATCTCTGTGATAATGCCTTTTCCAGACAACCCCGAGTCTGACCGCTTGATATGTCCACTAGTAGTTTTTTTTGCTTTATTCAGGGATTCTAAAAATTTGAAAGTCAAGTTTTGCCGACAATCCACTATGCAGAATGCCAATATTAATAGAAGACACATAGCTGTAATCGCCCAAACTATTAGTTGAGCCCAGTATGGATACCTCATTTTTGTCAAGAAATTCTGAAATATTCGATAAGTTTTACTTTATATAAACTTATAAATTTACATTGTATAATTATATATTTAATTGATTTTGCGATCTACTGTATTATTTAAATGTAAATAAGTCAATATCTCGGGAATATTCATATTTTTTTTAAGACTTAGTGATACATACATCAGCTGTATAATTTACTCAATTTCTTTCGTAATTATTACGAGTTGATGACTTTTTTCATATTACCAAGCTATTACTCCCTCTTTRTTTTAAGTTCAACAACATCTAAGATGATATTCTAAAATAGTAGAATGACATGAAATATCCTGCAGGATATTATTAGAAGAATTTTTAAGTTTTAAAATATCGATTTATTTACTTACAAATTGTAAATATATATTTTTTTAAATCGGGTAAGTCGTGGATGTTGCTCTGCTGTACAGTAGCTATAGGTTATAAGTGGGTTACTGTAATGGATGGAATTAATTTTGAATCCAATGATATTATATCATTGTATACGAAAAACGATTCTGAGCGGAGACGGTTTATCTGTTTAGGATATATTATAGATTATTAAAAATTTTCAAATCTTAGATTTAAAAAGAAAWTTTTTTATGAATTTCTAGCTTAAAATAATTTGCGAATTTTCGTGATTTTTACGTATGTTGTCAAAATTCAAACTTTGAATACTTATAAAAAAAAATTGTGGCAATGTATTTTTTTTATTTTTCAGCTGGTATTGTAAAAATATGTAAGGAGCCTTTTATTAAATTTTCAAAATCTTAGATTTAAAAAGAAAAATTTTTAAGAATTTCTATCAAAAATAATTTGAACATTGCCGTAATTTGTACCTACGTAATTAGTCAAAATTTGAACTTTTAATGCTTATAAATAAAAAAAATTACCTCTTTAAAGTACCAGCTCAAGAAAATTACCTTTCAGAAAAGATGCTACACTTTTGAGTAAGTTTAGATGAGTGAGAAAAAGTGTTAAAAGAATAAAAAAGAAAAAGAAATAAACATCATTGTAAAACCAATTTGTGGTCTCTCAATATCTGTATATATCATTGTTATTTAAATATATTGTACTCACACTTCTATGTGTCCAAACTTCATATCTGAAGCCATCTAAAATACCGACCGTCAAGATAGATGAGAATGTTAATATCAGCAACATTGGAGTAACATGTCTCCAAATGAATATAGAAAGACGACCAATCGTATGTCCAGTCATATCATATATATCAAGTAAGAATCTGACAATAAAATTATTATTACTTATTAGCTAATATGAACTAAAATATCATCATTATAAACTATTAAATAATTTAGTACATACTGTTTGTATCCATAAATGAAGACAATAATTAGAACCTCACAAAGGGCTAACACCGTCAAACATGGATTTATAAAAACTTCAGTGTATAATGAGAGCCAATATACACCCGTTCTAGTAGTAAATACCAATCCACAGATACAACATATTGTACAAAGTATACCTATAATTAATATTTTGTTCACCTTATTACTACTRRTGTAATATTATATTATCTAGTGATGCACAAATGAATGATGGTCGTATTTCGATATCGATATCAGACCAATTTTACCGATATCGATATGACAAAAATAATATTCGATATCGAAATACGACATCGCAGGTAAATATCCATAATTTTATCGATATCGAAAATTGATATCAATTGGTTGCTATTTGAAATTTCTATTTTCTATTTATATAAGTTTTGACAGTGTA